CCCCTCAGCAGTGTACTTCATCAATCTGCCTGTTCTGCTTCCCGCTCTGTCTCTGGTGAATCCTCTCACCCTCCTCATCTCTGGCCTGTACCCCAGTTCTGTATGAATAAATAAATAAATCTTAAAAAAAAAAAATGCACATACACAGAAACAGTGGATATAATTTTAGGGGGTTTATGGATTTCATAGATCACATTATTCTCCCCCACCCCCAGCAGACTGAAGCTGTTTGAGATGGGGCTGGTATGAGGAAGAAAGCATTTAGGGTGAGAAGAGCATGAACAGAGCTCAAAATGGATTTGAACTTTTAAATATTCTGGTTTTCCAGAGGACTGTTTCTGGAGGGGGATCAGTACTAGAGCCAGAAGTGAGTCCCCAATGCAATGTTACAACCTGACCTCCCTCCCCCCTCAAGGTTTTGAGGAGAGGAAGTAACACAACCAGAATGCTAGTATCTCATGAGTGGTGCTTTAGGCAGATTATCTTTGGTAGTATAAAGCAGAATAGCTTTGAATATAAAAAGCAAGCAGGGAAACCAATTAGAGAGACCTGGTGATAAATTAGGCTGTGATCAATGTTAAAACTTGCACAGACATGATCTGAAAACAGCATGGATGGGAAATATTTTATTTTTTAAAAGATGTATTTATTTATGCATATAAGAACTGGGGTACAGGCCAGAGGTGCAGGGGGGTGAGAGGATTCACCAGAGACAGAGTGGGGAGCAGAACAGGCAGATCTACTGAAACACACTGCTGAGAGGAGCAGTGGATGGGTCAGAAGAGGTCTAAAATGCCATATGGGTCAGCGGCCCGGCATGGGATGCAGTGGCTTTGGGACAGCTTTATAGTATGGTGTTTTAACCCCTTGCGCCACTAGGGAGGGCCCGGATGGAAAATATTTTAAAGGAAGAGTCTCCATGATTTAAGGATTTTTGGCAGAAAAAAGTGTAAAAAGGTGTTAGGGTTTTAAACTTGGGTACCTGGGAACCAAGGTTAACAGTGTTCAATTTACAGTATCAGGGAGCCAGAGGGAGAGCTAGCATTTAAGAAAAGGTATGAACAGAAGGAGAGAGCTAAAACAGGAAGTGATGAAAACAAGTTATGAAAAACAACCTCCTGTTCTTTACTGAGGTATAATTTACATGTAGTAAAATACACAATCTTGTGTACAGTTTTATGTAAATACCAATATGACACCAATCTAGATTAGGTTACAGTCCATTTCCAATAATCTAAAAGGTTTTGTGTCTCTTCTGCTAATAACCCCTTTACAAGTTAACCATTATTTTGGCCCCACCACTAAGGATTAGTTTTGCCTGTTTTCAATTTTTTTTTTTTTTTAAGATTTATTTACACATACAAGAGCTGGGGTGTAGGCCAGAAGTGTGTGGGGGTGATGGTGGTGAGAGGATTCACCAGAGACAGAGTGGTGGGCAGAACAGGCAGATGGACTGAAATACACTGCTGAGGGGAGCAGCAGGTGGGTCAGGAGAGGTTTACACACCATGTGGGTCACCTCTGGGGCGAGGGATCAAACTCTCACTGAAGTGGCTGCCGCTTGCAGTGCTGCATCCTAACCCGTTGTGCTGCTAGGGAGGTCCCCTAAACTTAATTTTTGTACATGGTATAAGATAGGGATTAAGGTTCATTATTTTTTGGCAGTTGGTTCAGTTTATTTAATAATAGATCCAACTCTAATAGTAATGGAAAAGGTTAAGACTGATGATAACTTTGGAGACAAAAGTGAATAATCTCAAAAAAGAATAGTTAAAAAGCTAAAGCAGATTAAATCATCAAGGCAAATAGAAAAAAGAAAATAACAATGACCCTCATAAAACAGCTGCGTTAAAGAACCATACATAGAAATGTTATAACTAATCAAAAATTGGCAAAGTGACTTCTGAGCAGTTTTCATTGAAATCCCAGGGAAATAAGTTTCAAAACAGAAGAAATAGACAAACAATATAAAGTTCTTGCAGAGAAAGCAAAACTTTCCACCTACCCATTTTAGGATTTCAACTTTTGTTAGTTTGTCTAACAAAAAGACAAATTAACAAAAGAAAAACTCCCGGCACATAATCATGTACTTAGGAGAAACCTCAACGAAAAGCAACTCAAGCTGGGATTTAGAACTGCAGGTATACAGGATTCCCAGTGAAGAACAATACGTCTGTGGAGGAATGATGGCAAAGGAAAGCAGTGTCAGGCACCCAAGGGCAGCAAACTGTGGGAAGGGAAACTTATGGGAAAAGACTAATGGTGTCAGGTTTGTTTGCAGATTCTTATGGGGCTGATAAGAATCTCCAGGAAAAGGAGAATTTATATCCTGCCCTCTGGCAGAAAAGGGAGGTACAGGCTCAGTATTTGCTGCTTCTTAATTGCCTTCAACTCTAAGTAAGTCAAAAAGACATATTTGGGGATGACATATTCTGGTTTCCTTCATTCTCAAGAAGTGAGAAAGTGGCCACTGGGCTTGGCATTATGTTGCTAATGACTGGAGAGTAAGGTTTCAGAGTGAGTGTGAGGAAGGGATTCAGTTACCTACAGGAAGAATGTAGGGAAAGTGCTCAAGCTGTTCTGTTAAAAGGATTTTCCCTATAATATAGGGATAAAAGAACAAATTGATGGGGTTATGGGAGTGGAAATAGAAAACAATGAAAGAGAAATAAGATACCTGAAAGAAGAAATAACTGAATAAGATGCCACAGGAGCATTTCTGTGACCAAGAATAAATTAAAGCCAAAAGTGGTGCAAATTATAAAGGACTTCTCTTCTGGGGCCTATTGTCTGAAATGTATACCCACCTTCAGACCTTCCTAATTTAGGTTAAAAGGAACACTAACAAGTGTTTTAAAAGACCCTTTAAAAGGTTAACCAAGTCAAGGCCCTGAAGCAACACAACAGAGCTAAGGATTGCTGGAGGACTCTAATCCCCTTATTTTACACCTGATCTGGAATAGTTCCCTCCACCATAGTATCTACCAATGCAACATTATCATGGCACAGTGACTTGTGACTTTTCCTACCATGGAAGCACTAAAAGGATCATGCAACTGCAGTTATTTATTGAGCTAAAAAGGGTGAGGTCTCCAATTGGGAAAAAGCTCTCTCTCAGTGCTTGCTATTGCCTTAGGCTAGTCTATCAATCAATTAATTCATCCTTTACAGTATTAATGCAAGATAAACTTTACCCTATACTTTGCTTTTGCTCTTTGCAAAATTCCTTCTTTGATTGTACCAAGGAGTATAAAGGGAAATTCTGTGCAAACCTTCAAAGTAATTTACAGGCCTCCTGGTGGTGCTGGGGTTAAAGTCTCAGCACTATCATGCTACAGCCAGTCACTGCATGTGAGTTCAATCCCTGGCCAGGGAGCTGACCCACATGGTGCACAGACCTCTTCTGCCTTGCCTGATACCACCCTCAGCAGTGTATTCCAGTAGATCTTCCTATTCTGCTCCCCACTCTGTCTCTGGTGAATCTGCTCACACCCCCACCCCTGCACTTCTGGCCTATACCCCAGCTCTTTTATGCATACATAAATAAAAAATAAGTTAAAAAAAAGACTTATTTATATATACATACAAGAACTGGGGTACAGGACAGATGTACCAGGGTGAAGGGATTCACCAGAGACAGAGGGGGAGCAGAACAGGCAGACTAACTGAAATACACTGCTGAGGGGAGCAGGGGGCAGGTCAGGAGAGGTCTGCTGTGCCATGTGGGTCAGCTCTGTGGCTGGAGAGTGAACTCATGCTGCAGTGGCTGCAGGTAGCTTCATAGTGTTGTAACTTAACACCTTGCACCACCAGGTAGGCCCAAATTAAAAAATTAATTAAAAAAAGTGATTTATAATTAAATTCTTCCCTATTTTCTGCCTGTATGTGTTAGTCAGTTACTAAATCCTTGGAACTCTTTTGCTACAAATCCTCTACATTTGCTTCATTTTCATTTCCAAAAATACCAATGTATCCTGGTCTCATTTCTTATCTGGAAGAGAGACTCACTTGGTAAGTTACTTGATCTTTGCAGGGGATCAGGATATGGCATTCCAAAATATGCCACTTTGGCATAAAGATTATTTTAAGATGAAGACATTTGAGATTCAACAGATGCAGAAAGAAAACTTGAAGTTTCCTTAACTGAGAGAAAAAACTTCTGAGAAATGAGGACTACCATCATTTCCTATTTTGTGTTGGATTCTACTTCCCAGAGAGAGACGAGAGACCAAGAATAACCTATCATATATCCCAGTCTCGGGGAGCTTCATGGTATTGAAGATGGAAAGACCACTGCACCTATAAACAAATGCTAGCACAAATTTTCTTATCTCCCATTGTTAGCTTAAAGACACATTTGTCTTTCCTAAAGAAA